CTCTGAGCCATTCATCCATCCATCCATCCACCCACCCATCCATCCATCCACCCACCCACCCATCCACTGAGCTCCTGCATTGTTCCAGATGCTGGCACACTAGAGAACCTTTGTGCAAAGCACAGCTCTGGGAACGCAGGAAACAACCAGCTGAGTGGCTTCAGGGTGGATCAGGGGTCACTTAACCAACGTTCTGCCACCGAGAGTGCCAGAGATAAATGGCTTACAAGAAGGAAGTGTCAGTTTTGGCTCCGTTGGCCCCTGCTGCTTTGACCTGTATGACAGGAACACCCCACAGAGCAAACACACTCATCTCATGGCAGCCAAGAAAAGAGAGCGATGGGGTGGGGTGGGGAGGAAGGGGCTGGAGACCCAGAATCTCTTCCAAGGTCATACCTCAGCTGATCTAACTGTCCCACAGGCCCTGCTTCCTGAAGGTTCCACTGCCTCTCTGTCGCGCTGTAGGCCAGCAATCAATCCTTTAACACATAGGCTTGTGGGGGTGTTTGAGAGCCAGGGACTATATGGCAAGGGGCCGTGAAGGAGTTGGCAAATGTATAATCAAGGGATTCTGCTTTGCCAGGGAGCAGGGCAAACAGTCCTCTCCTAGGACCCAGGGGAAGAAAAGGGGTGACCTAGAGCGGTGTGGAGTGGAGCTCAAGCTTGGGAGGCAGAGAAGGGAGCATTCAGCCTTCTAGGCAGAGGGGACAACTCGTACAAAGGCCCTGTGGTTGCTGTGCTGTTCATGCTTGAGTAACTGAATAGAGTGAGGGAAAAAGGAAGCCAGGAAAAGTGGGGTGACATGAGGCGGAGAGAAAGAGGCTGGGTCATTAACTGTCAACTTGTCTCAATGCAGAGTCACCTAGAAAGTCTCCGTAGAAATGCTGTAGATCAGGATGGCCTGTGGGCATGTCTGTGAGGGACTGCTTTGATGATGGTAATTGATGTGGGGATACCCAGGCCACTGTAGGTGGCACTGCCTGGGCAGAAGGTACTGGACTTTGTACGTGTACAACGAGCTAGGCACTAAGTGTGTGCTTACGCTCTGCTCTTGGCTGTGGGTGTGACTAGCTGCTTCAGGTTCCTACCTTGACTTCCCTTCAGTGACAAACTGCAGCCTAAATTTCTATCAGGGCATTTTATCATAGCAATAGGAATTGAGCTAGAACCCTGCTTCCTGCTCTGTTTTAAAGGACCCACCTCAGCCGGGCGGTAGTGGCGCACGCCTTTAATCCCAGCACTCGGAAGGCAGAGGCAGGTGGATTTCTGTTCGAGGCCAGCCTGGTCTACAGAATGAGTTCCAGGACAGGCACAAAAACTACACAGAGAAACCTTGTCATGAGAAAACAATAAATAAATAAATAAACAAACAAACAAACAAATAAAGGATCCATCTCCACCTTCCACACTGGGGAAGTTCTGTGGGTCGCTCTTTCTAGACTCCTCCCAGGTGGGTGGTGACTGCTTGAAGCTGACAAAGCCCACCTTCTCCAACACCCCCTGAGGACAGTGGACTCAGACACAGGACCAAGCTTCCTGATTCTGCAGGCAGCCAGCGTGTGCAGTGTGATTGAATGTTGATTTTATTGCTAGAATTTTCCATCCTTGGTTCCCACGGATCCAAGCCAGAAGCTTGCATCTGGGACCCTCGTCATCTTGTGATATTGGGAGTGGAGGGGAAGGAGCCTTGGTCCCGAGCAGGGAGCAGGCTCCGTGGAACCTGCCTCGTTCCCAGGGCCTGGTGACAGAGTGGTCCCAGTGGGCCCAGATCCTGACACACCAGCTGTGGCACTTGTGCCTTGTCCCCACTCGCATTGGTCCTAACTTTCAGATGTCACCTAAGCCACATCGCATATGGCAAGCCACCGCAGCCAGGCCACACCAGCCACACTAGGCAGGTCAGGGGTCACAATTCCCAGGCCTTTTTCTGAAGCCATATCATCACTTTCTTCCTGACAGATCAACTTCTGAGACTGAGAACTGGCAAAGGGATTCTTGGAGCTGGCTGGGTACCGTGGTCTATGACAGAGTTTCTCAACCTGTGGGTCATGACCCCCTTGACAAACCTCTATCTCCAAACATATTTACATTACAATCATAACTCCAAACACATTTACATTACAATCATAACAGTAGCAAAATTACAGTTATAAGGTGGCAACGAAAATAACTTCATGGTTGGGAGGTCACCACAGCATGAGGAACTGTAATAAAGGGTTGCATTATTGGGAAGGTTGAGAACCACTGACTTGGTGGGTCAGTACTTGGGTGAACCCGAGTTGCCCAGCATCTATCTCCAGAGGAAGAATTCTGAATGCAAGTAAGTCTTGGGTCAAAGGTGGAAGGCTTCACATCAGTCCTGTCAGTCTTGGAGGTGTGGCTGCTGGGGGCCATCCGTGATGTTTGCAGCTTTAATATACAGTACCACTGCTTGAATATGAGCAGGCTTGCAGATAATCAAAGCATGGCTCGAGGTAGGAATTTAATGTTAGGATCCCAGCCAGGGCTAGCAAGCCATATATGTGCTAATGTGGCAATTTCAACTTTGGACTTAAGGTCAAGATTGATTTAGTGAAAAATATTATCCTGCAATGGAATAGATGCCTTCTGAATTGGATTGTGGGGGATTCTGGAGGATGGGTGAGTGTAGGGTGTAGATGACCCAAAGGGCTGAAGTAAGAACAGCTTTAAGGCAGAGTGCAATGAGACATAGTATTTTTTTCCTTATACGTAGGGAAAAAAATCCTTTGTTGGTAGGCTGCATATATTTTGACAATTTTGAGAAGTAACACTGTTGTTTTTTTTTTTAACTTTTTATTATAGAAAATGTCAAATATTCCCTAACCTACCTGTAGTCCAACTTCCAACTTATTTATTTTTGACTTTATGATACTGTGAAAACAATACACACCAGCGGAAACCATGCTTGGAAATTGGAACTCAGATCTTTTCCCTGGCCATCTCTGTGCTATCTAGTCCTCGGGCAGCCCCCGTGGGTCCCAGTTCACCTACCGACCACAAGGAGACCATCAAGGCCCCGCAGCACAGACCTGGGCTGTGGGGTAGGTTAGACAAATTCAGCACATTGGCAACTTGACAATATGGCCAATTTAAGGTAGTTTTAGCAGGGCCATCATGAGTCAAGGAGCAGTTATACTAAATTAGAGATAGTGTTACTAAAGTTAGTCGACTTCCCCTGTAAGGAGCTGGAGAGTTAAGTTTAGGTTTCTCATGCCCCTGTCTCCGTGATTCAATTCCGCTGTCCCAGCAGAAAAATATCTACAGATAGGACCAACAGGAACAAACAGGGATCCGTTCTAGGGAGACGCTGCCACTGGAGTTCTATGTGATCTTTACATGCTAGCTAGGCAGTATTATTGTGATGGCTCTTCTTGGTTGTCAACTTGGCTACATCTGGGATTAACTAAATCCCAAGCAGCTACACCTGTGAGGGATTTTTTTTCTTAATTAAATCATTTGAAGTGGGAAGACCCACTTTTCATCCAAGTCTTCTGAGGCTGGAAAAGCCACCTTCAGTCTGGGCCACACCTTCTGGTGGCGGCCTATATAAAGGCCATGGAAGAAGGAAGCTTGCTCTTTGCCTGCTTGCTCTTGCCTTGCTAGCAAGTCCATTCCTTCATGGGCCTTAGAGCCAACTCCTTTGGGATGCAGCCTCATGGACTGAACAACTCCTGGATTCATGGACCTTCCTTTGGTAGACAGCCGTTGTTGGACTAGCTGGACCACAGCCTGTAAGTCACTCTAGTAAGTACCCTTTCTATATATGTATAAATTCATTCTATAAGTTCTGTTCTTCTAGAGAATCCTAACCAATACAATTATTATTATAAAATCATTTTAAGGGACTGGAGAGCTGGCTTAGCCGTTAGAAACACTTGGTGCTTGTGCAGAGGACCTGGGGTTGGTTCTTAGGACCCACACAAAGGCTCACAATCATCTATGACTACAGGTCCAGGGGATCTGATGCCCCCTTCTGGCCTGTGTAGGCAGTGCATATATGTGGTACAGATAGATACATGCAGCCAAATGTGCATACATGTAAAACAAATAAATCTGAAAACTTATTTAAGTCCCTGGTATGATTCTAGCTGGGCAGTTATGCTACCTAGAAGATACGCTGTATTCACTTGGGTTTTGATTTTAGAAGTCTTTTTTTTTTTTTTTTGGTTTTTTGAGACAGGGTTTCTCTGTGTAGCTTTGCGCCTTTCCTGGAACTCACTCTGTAGCCCAGGCTGGCCTCGAACTCACAGAGATCCATCTGCCCCTGCCTCCTGTGTGCTGGGATTAAAGGCGTGCACCACCGCTGCCGCCGCCGCCGCCTTGCCAGGTTGTTTTTCTTTCTTAATTTGTTTGAAAATAGTTAAACAAATGCAAAATGGCTGAATTAGTTACTTTTCTGTTGCTGTGACGAAACACCATGGCCTAAGGCCACTTGGGCGAGAGGGTTTATTTGGACTTGCCGTTCCAGAGGACAGGAGTCCATCATGGCGGGAGGCTTGGCAGCGTATAGCCGGATGGGGGCAGGAGCAGAAAGCTCAGAGCTCACACCTCCGCCGTGACCACAGCAGATAGCACCCTAGGAGTAGGGCGAGGCTATGACCTCTCAGAGCCCCAGCATACTTCCTCCATCAAAGCCACACCAGCTCCCCAAACAGCGCCACCCGAGGACCAAGTGTTCCAGGGTCTGAGCCTATTCCTCACTCAGCCCATGACCATGGTACAACACCATTTTGCATTTGCCTGGAAGTTGAGACCCTGAAGACTTGCTCCTTACGTTTGGTCCCCTTAAGGGTTTTTCCTAAAACATCATGTCATTTGTCTTGGCGACATAGTCCTCGGGTAAGAGTCATTCCCCATCTTCATAGGTCATGTCACAGCTCGAGTATGATTTGTCTCCACTAAAACTCATGTTGAACCTTTTCCTCAAAGCAGCAGCGTTAGAGGTGATGAGGCCTACGCTTTGAAGGTGAGTTCAGCTCTCTGTGGTCCTGTGTGAGTCGCTCCAGAGCTTCAGTTCAGAGGGAGGCTCTTCAGTGAGCAGACATTGACTATGACGTGTAGGGAGCAGAGACGGCCATGGGTGCTGGGTAGAGAGAGAGGACTGAAGAGGAGAAGAAGCCAGAGAGTTTCCTAGAACATGTGACCACTAAACTGAGCCCTGGGAGTAACATCTGGACCCCTGTAGAAGGTCACTGGGAAAGAAACTCCAGAGGAAAACTGGTCCAAGCATCTAGAGGCAAACTAGTTCACATGGGGCATGAAGACAATGAGGTTCTGGGGGCATTAGGCTCCACCGATTATAATCAAAACTGCAGAAAAACCTGCTTCTGAATAGCCTCTGTGGGATGTATCGTTTAGAGCTGTAAATCGCCATCACACTGAGTCCCTTCCACCAGAACACGCCGGACATTAGGCAAGACATGTCCACCCCTAAACTTTCCTTCTCCCAGTGGGTCTCGAATCCCTCTGGGTCAGCACTGTGAATGTTACTTTGCCAGTTAAAGGCAGCCTAGAAATCTGCAGAATCTGAAAATATCAGAAGGTGATTCGATTATAAAAACATTAGATTTGGGCCTTGTCTCCTGGAAGGCAGCAAGGAAGGAACAGCTCCTAAGTGCGTTGGGAGAACCTGAATTTGCATTTCTTGGCTATAACAAAATGTCAGCTGGTAAGTTAATGGGCTGATAATTACTGTTCTTCTCTGTCAACAGGTTCTTAGGGTGCTGGTAAATGGAAATCCAGATCTCTGCTCGGAGATCAAATATATCCTGGACTTGCCTGAAAGGGGTCAGAAAAATTAAGTGAGATAAATGGGCAGAGAGGTTCGAGCGAATGCCTTTGATTTGTGCAAGAGAGCCGTAAAAATAAAATCTCTGGGGCCATTTCATCTTACATCAGAAACCAAGCTTACCTCCCACTATATAGGGTCAGCATGGTGTCTCTCTCAAATGTTCAAGAAAGGGGGTGAAGGCCTGGGCACATGAAAGCATATTTGACTGAACCTGTCATAAATGGCTTTCAGAACACTGGAACCTGGTGTTATGGGTATGCCCAAACAAAGCCTTTTCCCTCACGTGTCCCATCTGTGGGACAGTAGTCCCAACTTGAGCTGTTACAGTGAGGACTGGCCTGCACAGAACAACCAGTGAGTTTGGGTATAACATGGTGAGCTCCACTGGAGCTCTATGACTTGTCAATCCCACATTCCAGAAGCCCAAGGCTTGTTTTTTTTTTTCCTCCTTGAGCTAGCTGGTCCATGTGGGTGACACCGACGACAATGATGAATTCCACATTTGAATCCGTAGCCCAGGCTCCCCTCTGCATGTCCCCCAAAGGCCTGCTCAACATCGCACTTGAATATCTCACTGATTTGCTTCTGGTGAAAGGCCCCCACCTTCAACAACTCAGCTCAAGCCCCAAATGTAACAGTCCCAACGCCACACCTTCTCTCTGCCATAAACCTCCTCACTCCCGGCACCTGTTTTTTCGTTTCTGATGTCATCTTTGTATCCATCCTCTTATTCCCGACAGCTCCCCGCATCCCAATCTCACACCCCACCCTCTCATGCTAAATTAGCTTCCTCAGTGTCCTCCCCGCCTTCCTCTGCATTTTGACCTGGAGCTCAGCCTGGCTTGTGATTGCACACGTGTGGATGCCATCATTCCATTCCCTTTTGTGGCTCACGAACTAGTCATGTGACCAGAGACTGCTGTGTGGGACACATGGCACAGTACGTACTGGAGGGTGAATGAATCACTCAGCTCACCTATAGAGAGAATCTTCAATGTTTGCACTGGTTCACCAGAATGATTTAAAACAGGAAGCTCTGGGGACCAAAAGGAGAGCATTTGACACCAGGAAGCATACTGAGGACACCTCCAAATGTTCCAAGACATACAGAGCAGGAAGACATGGTCCAGGATGGACATCATCAGTTTGGTGCGCAGCTCTGTGCCTTTTCCTGCGGGATCGTGACTGATGTAGCAGGTCCGTGAGTATAAGCAGCCATGGTGTTCCTGACTCACCTCAAACACCTGCCAGTTTTCACTGAAGTAAATCTTGACTCCTACAGCTGTCATCAAAACGTGCTCTGAACCAGCAATGACATCATGGCACTGCTGAGATGGAGTCCTCAAGACGGAACTTTCTAAAGCCTGTGTAGGTGACAATCCCCTCTGCTCTGTGTAGCTGGGATTCCATGGTGATCGCGGGGCTGGTTATTTGTTAAAATGATTTAGGCACAAATGTCAGAGGAGAATTTGGTGTCATCAAATTAAAAAACGTCCTCTAAGCTGAGACTGATGAATGTGCTGAGATCTGCTCCCAGCCATTCAGAACGAATCCTGAAAGAATAATAAACCAGGCCACCAGTGACATTTGCAGAGAGGAAGAACACCGTCTAAGCCATTAAGACCTCTGATGCCAGTTCTGCTGCAGAGGGGGAGAAGTAAACCAATTCTCACACTCCGTGGTCACCTCAGGGAACTCAGCCAGACCACAGACAGGTCAAAATACGACCGAACTTGTATTAAGCAAGAGTCAAGTCTGCAGTGAGGAGCAGATGTGGTATGTGTGTGTATACACATTGTATATGTATGTGTGCATGCACTTGCTTATATGTTTATATATATTATATACGTGTGTGCACATATGAACATATGTGTCTATCTGTATGCAGGTGCATTTGTGTGGATGCATATGTGTAGTGTTTGTATAAGTATGTGCGCATGTGTGTTAGCCAAGGAAGATTTTATGAGTAGCTTGGAATGTTTCAGTCCAAATATAACTTCCAGGGACAATAACAGAAATAGAACATCCACGCAAACAGAGGACCTCAAACCAATCCCCAACAGAGTGTGTAAATCAGCTGTGGAAAAGGAAAGGGCCTAGGACTCCCTAGGAAAATTTAAGGGGACAAAATCAGCTCACAATATCAAGAGCTGTGGCCTGGGGTTGGAGGGATGGCTCAGTGGTTACCAACACCGGCTACTCTTGCAGAGGACCTGGGTTCAGTTCCCAGCACCTACTTTGGGTGCCTCATAACTGCCTGTAACTCTAGCTCCAGGGGATCTGATGTCCTGTTCTTGCCTGTGAGGGCATCTGAATGCAGGGATGCACGCACACACGCACGCACGCACACACGAAAAGAAAAGCGTTCCCTACTATCAGGACAGGACTCAGGGACAGAGCCTGGCACACCCGGGTCACAGCTCTCCTCTCTGTCCTCTTACTGATGACTGGGATGGCATTCTTCTTCAGACAATGCATGTGACCAAAGAGCAGACTGATTTTTAAATACAGAATGTTTTACGTAGTGTTAGGCATTTTTTTTCTTTCTTTCTGGAATTGAAGTCACAAAGTGACCTACCCAGCTAAGGATGGAAAAAGAGCATGTTTGTCAAATTTAGCTCCAAGTCACTCCCAGCTTCATCTTTCTGCTGTGTGAAAGAAAGGCAAGTCTCCCCTTTCCTCCTCATCCATCAGGCATGCCTGTGCCATAAACTCAGATTTTAATTAATTCGGTACAATCCTGACTGTGTGATGCATTCAGGACTTCATAGGAGTGCAGCTTGTTAGATTGATTTCCTTCTGCTATGAATTCTCCGGATGTTCTCCACGCGTGTTTTCGAGATTACAGACCTACATTCTACCCACATCCTTCCTTTTCCACACCCAGGAATATGATGGAGATTTAAAGCAATGGGATGAACAGCATCCCCCAGCGACCCTGGTGAGCCCTGAAAACACACAAGTGCCCACACCCTCTCCATCCCACATTTGCTGAATCCTGGACTCTGGGGGCGGGGCCAGGGAAAGGGTCCCAGGAGATCCCGAAGACTTCCCGAAGACTTCCCGCTGCAGACAGAGTTGGAAGAAGCCCACAGCTCCTTTCCTTAGGCTAAGGTTTAAAGGAAATAGTCACAGGTTCATGTTTTGGAGGAGAGAAACTTCATTTTTTTAATGGCATCAATTACAATATTATCTCTAGGGCTAACTCAAATCCTCCTACCTCAGTAGGGTAGCTCTCATCCTTGGGAGCATTTCTGACCCAATGTGTGGCCAGCATCTACAGCCTTGGTTTTGCTGGAGTGGTCCTGGGTAGCTGACCTCCTCTAGGAATGCTCTACTCCCCCACTTTGCTCTACTCCTCCGACCCAGGGCATCCTCCCCGCCAACATCATCTCTTCTGTGACAACACTGGTGACATTAGCTGCCTCTCTTCCTGAGAATCCCCTGGGCTAGTCAGAGGCATATAATTTAACACTTAATTGTTTTCTAATTGCTTCCGATCTGTTCTGTTCCCTCACCCTATTATAAACAGCTCAAGGGTGGGGACCATGGCTCCCTCACAGTGTCTCTAATAAGGCTAGTTGCCTGCCTGGATCACCATTGTGGCCCCAGAGGCCCAGCCTGGCATGAAATCGGCTCGCCACGAATATTAGTCGAATTAATGAATTTGTTGACAGAGCAGGCATTGGAGTGTCTGATCAGAAAAGTCACATCCAGAAACAAATGAGCAGCTCCATTCTGTTCCATCTGACCAACATTTGATCAGATGAACTAAGATCCTACTTTGGGCTGGGCACTATTCTGGGAAATTGGGAAGGTTCTTTATTAACATAATAAATGTGAATTTCCAAAGGTGGTCAAATCAGATGTTTTTGAGAGTGGTCTGAGACACTGACAAGCAGTACAGAGGTCACTCTGGTAATAACCACAGCCAAGAGAGATTTAGGATAACAAACCTGGGCCTGCCTGTGATCGGGTTCTGTAATATCGTAACTTTAATCGTAGTAATTTGTGAGATAGAGCCAGGCAGAGGGCAGTTTTCTTCCCTTCCATGGCCCAGGGTCTTCCTCTCCACATTTTCAGAGTGATAAATCCTCTGCGGGTTGGAGAGATGGCTCAGAGGTTAAGAGCACTGACTGCTCTTCCAGAGGTCCTGAGTTCAATTCCCATCAACCACATGGTGGCTCACAACCATCTGTAATGAGATCTGGTGCTCTCTTCTGGCATGAGGTCGTACATGCAGATAGAGCACTCATATATACATAAAATAAATAACTCTTAAAAAAAACCCTCTACAAACTGGGTATTGCTGCTCACTTAAATCTTGGATAGGTAAGTGTACACAAATGCATGTGCTCATACATGCGTACACACACACACACACACGAACATGTGGGATGGGGTCTTACTATGCATCTCAGACTTGTCTTAAACTTGCAATCCTCCTGAGTGTTGGGATTACAGATGTGAGCTACCACCACGCCCAGATGTTTGGATGCTTTTCACATGGAAAACTTAGCTCTTCGGCGGTGAGAACCAGATGGGGCCGTGCCTTGTCTATTGGCTCTCAGTCTCCTTTGATGTCTTTTCTCTTCATGGGAGAATTCTAGAGCCAAGATTCTGACACCGCCCTCTAGGCACTTACTTGGTCTGCATGTATCCAGAACTTAGCCGTTTGGTCCCGAGAAATGCCAGTGTCCATTCTGCAGAAAGGAATCCTTCTGTACTCACAGCGGCTTTGGTTTTTAGAGTGTAGTAGGTCTGTCTGTCTGTCCTTCCAGGCATCTCACCGTCCCCCTTCTGTGCACACTCTGAGGGCAGCAGTACCACTCCTTTGTGAGAGCATGGTTTCAGGGGCTCCGGCCTGTGGTAATTCTCCTGTGAACCGACCGTGGGAGAAGCAGGCTGCAGAGACTTCTACTGCTAAGTAATTAGGGTTTGAGAGGTTCCGCGACCGTTAGTGTTGCTCTGGGAAGCGGGATTTTACAAAATCGTGGCAGGCACTTTCGTCTGAAACCTTGTATCTTTTCAGATATCAAAAAAGAGCAAAGGGGGGGCTGGAGAGATGGCTCAGAGGTTAAGAGCACAGACTGCTCTTCCAGAGGTCCTGAGTTCAGTTCCCAGCAACCACATGGTGGCTCATGACCATCCATAATGAGATCTGGCGCCCTCTTCTGGCCTGCAGGGATACATGCAGGCAGAACACCGTGTACATAATAAATAAATAAATCTTAAAAAAAAAAAAAAAAGAGCAAATAGGGCTGAGATGTGACGAAGAAACCAGAGAGATAAACAAATCCAAATACGCATAAGGAGGAAAGGCAGAGGGCATTGGAGGGTTTCTTAGTCAGGGTTACTTTTGCAGTGATGAAATACCAGGACCAAGTTGTTGGGGAGGAAAGGGTTTGTTTGGCTCACGCTTCCACATCACTGTTCACCATTGAAGGAAGTCAAGACTCAAACAGGGCAGGAACCTGGAGGCAGGAGCTGATGCAGAGGCCATGGAGGGGTGCTGCTTACTGGCTTGCTCCTCATGGCTTGCTCAGCCTGCTTTCTTATAGAACCCAGGACCACCAGCCCAGGGATGGCCCCACCACAATGGGCTGGGCCCTCCCCCATCAATCACCAGTTAAGAAAATGCCCTCCAGGCTTGCCTACAGCCTGATCTTACAAAGGCATTTTCTCAGTGGAGGCTCTCTCCTCTCAGAGGACTCTAACTCTGTCAAGCTGTTGGAGAACTATCTTCATATAGGACACGTAAGGGTGGACCTGAGCTACCAGCACAGCTGCTAGGAACACAGATGCTGTGGAATAACGCTTTTATACACAGGTTTAATAAAATGCTGATTGGCCAGTAGCCAGGCAGGAAGTATAGGCGGGATAAGCAGACAAGGAGAATTCTGGGAAGAGGAAGGCTGAGTCAGGAGACGCCAGCCCACCATCCAGGGAACAGCATGTAATGGCACACAGGTAAAGCCACAGAACATGTGGTGACATATAGATGAACAGAAATGGGCTGAGTTTAAGTGCAAGAGCTAGTCAGTGGTAAGCCTGAGCTAATGGCCGAGCAGTTTTAATTAATATAAGCCTCTATGTGTTTACTTGTGTCTGAGCGGCTACAGACCTGGCAGGACACAGGGAAACTCCAGCTTCACACAGGTCTTGGACCTGTCCCCTAGGGACTCTGTTTAATTAAAACCAGTGGGACTCCCGTGGTTTGAATAGGCAGTGCACCCCAGAAGTCTCTATGTTAACCACCTGAAACCAGCTGGTGACATTATTTAAAAGTGATCGGACTAGGTGTGGTGGTGCACGCCTGTAATCCCAGCACTCAAAGGCAGAGGCAGGCTGGTCTACATATCGAGTTCTGGGATAGTTGGGGCTCCATAGACTATTTGAAAAAAATTTATTTTGACAGGTGATTGTAACGAACCTCACCATTGGGTTAATCTGTGGGTGAGTTCACAGCTGAATGAGCTGTTAGGAGTGTGAACCAGCTGGAGGAAGCAGGCTGTCGGGGCCTGTATCGGAAGGGTGTATACCTCCCCACATTGGTGTTCTGTTTCCCGACTGCTACCAAGTGAGCCACTGTCCCCACTGGGCCCTTGCACACAGCCCCGGGCTGAGACCTCTGAAAGTGCGCCGCGCTCATTAGCCTTCCTGTTAACCAGTTCCCCGGGGGTATCTGTCACAGCGGCGAAAAGTGATTAACAAAGGGACCCAGGCCGATACCTGCTCAGATTCCGTGCAGAGCCGGGGCTGGGAGCCATCGGGCT